TGCTATAGTCAAAGAGTCTGACATATTTCCATCCTTACCTATACGGTGCAAGGTTTACCATCAGGACAGACCATGCTGCGTTGCGCTGGTTGAGATCATTAAAGAACCCAGAGTGACAATTGGCACGTTGGATTGGAAAGATAGACCAGTATAATTATGATATTGAATACAGAGAAGGAAAATATCATGGAAATGCCGATGGACTGAGCCGAAGACCCTGCAAAAATGACTGCAGACATTGCTGAAAAAGAGAGGTTGAGCTAACCAGGTGTCATCAAGCTGAAGTCAAAGTGACTGAAGAAGTTGATGATGGTGAAATGGAACCAGGCATAGATATTAACTCAGAGCAGGAGAAAGACCAATATTTGAAGCCAATAATTGATTTTCTAAAAGCAAGTGTTTTGCGTCCTTCTTGGGAGAAGGTGTCTAGTCTAAGCCCTGTGACAAAAAACTATTGGGCACAATGGGACCAGTTGAATCTTGAAGATGGGTATTCTTCTCTGGAGATGGGAAACTGCAGATGGAAATAGGACGACCTGGCAAACAATTATACCAAGGAAGTTACAGGAAGTTGTGCTGCGTCAATCCCCTGATAGTTTAACAGGAGGACATCTCTGAGTTAAGAATACATTGAGTCACTTACGACAGAGATTTTACTGTGTAGGAATGAGGCAAGATTTGAAAGAATGGTGCAGGACATGTTGTGCTAAAAGGGAACCCAAGCATAAGGGACGTGCTCCAATGAAGTTATATCAAGTTGGCGCACCAATGGAAAGAGTAGCCATTGACATTGCTGGTTCTTTGCCTCAAACTCGTGCTGCAAGCAATTACATTTGTGTGGTGATGGATTATTTCATCAAGTTGCCTGAGGCATATGCAATACCAAATCAGGAAGCTACAACAGTAGCTTTGGCTATTAGTAATTTCTTCTTCAGATTTGGTATGTCATACGAACTGCATTCAGATCAAGGGTGTAACTTTGAATCAGCTGTGTTCCATGAATGCTGGAAGTTGTTTGGCATACGAAAGACCAGAACAACGCCACTTCACACACAGTCTGATGGGATGGTAGAAAAGTACAACTGGACACTCGGACAGGAATTGGCAAAGGTTTGTAATAGCCGCCAAGATGACTGGGATGTCTTACTCCCTCCACTGTTGATGGCCTATAGGACAGCAGAGCATGAAACCACTGGATACACTCCAGCAAAGTTGATGTTTGGTCGGGAACTTCAGTTGCTAGTGGATCTGTTAACAGGACGCCCATTTTATGAAGAGTTGCCTGAAAATGTGTCAGAATTTGTGAAAGTGTTATTGGAAAGGATGGATAATATTGACCATCAAGTGCTTTCAAACTTGAAAACGTCTGCTGATTCGATGAAGTTATGTTATGATAAGAGATCTACTGAAATCAGCTTTGTACCAGTAGACAAAGTGTGGTTGTATAATCCCAGGAAGACCAAAGGGAAGTCTCCTAAGTTGTCTTCTCCATTGGAAGGCCCATATACATAGTGGATCGTCTCTCAGACGTGACTTTCCGAATAAAATATGGTCGGCGAGGTAAGCCAAAGGTGGCACATGCCAACAGGCTTTCGCGTTATCATGGTACAGGACATTTCAGATGGAATGAAAGGAACAATGGAACAAAAGACACCACTAAAGACGTGTCACCTGGAAAGGCCACTGTCGAAGAAGAAACTCTATTCGGTTTTGAGAAGAGAAACAGTGAAGCCCTTCAT